CGTTTACTATTTCACTCCGTTTTCCTTACAGAAGGCCTGGCATGTATTTTTCTTGAAGATTTAACACTCGAAGATGGCGTTTCTGTCCTTAAAGGAAATCAATAGCAATGTTAAAAGCAGCAGCTGATTAAACATAGCGCAGATGTGTTACCGATTAGCATATCTAACGAATTGAACAAAAGTATCTTTTTAGTTGCTTTTTGTTTTTTAATTAACTTCTACTGATTAGAACCTGAAACGTTAAATTACCTGGCGACCACAGACATGTAGCTAGAAATCTCGGCTTAAGAAATAGCCAAGTGTAAGACGTCCTTTTACTTTTCGAACTATGAAGTCTCCTAACTTCTCTATGTTCCGATTGGTTATGAGAAACTTCAACCCACACGTACCAATTACTAGATTCGTTGTTCTTTTCAATTAACATGCAAACAATAAAGTTCGAGAGAGATAATTGAAAATGCGTTGTACGTAACCGTCAATCATGTTTTATAATCTTAAGGTAATCATGTTTCTGAGTTGTGATTGGAGAATATCGGTACAAGTTGTTAATTCTGCTTTTAAATGTCCGTTTGGAAGATAATTGATCGCAGCATGAAAGAAAATCGCAATTTCGGTGTTAAGCCCCACAGCATGCCGCATGTTACTGAGAGGCGCAGTGATTTTCCTTCATAAACGAAAAACTTTGAACAGTACAATAATTCACCCTTTCCGTCTGGAGCTGAGAATAACGTTTGGAGAAGATTTGTCATATAATTCTTTGGAGCAGACGAGAGAGGGATCACCTGGGCCGAATTGAGAAACCTTAAAACATTTTTTCGTACCGCTCAATGCAATGGCTAAAGAAACGTTGACAGTCAATCAATAGTATGAAGGAAAGATTTTGCGAATTTTATGGGCAGTTTTTCCCCTCCATATCTGATGCTGAAGAGCTTTACACGTCTTACCTCGCCAACTGTGTCTTCAACCATTTTCTTTCCTTTACTGCCATCGTGTTGAACGTAGTAACTATCTACGTAATACGAAAAACTTCGTCTTTACCAAAGACTTTGAAAATATTGCTTACGAGTCTTGCCGTTTCTGACGTTGGTGTTGGTTTACTGGTTCAGCCATTTTACACGTCACTTCTGGTCAGATTGTTACGACAAATAAATCTAACCTGTATTGAACATAAAATTTATTCCTTAAGTGCAAATGTTTTCTGTACGCTTTCGTTGTTAAATGTTCTGGCTGTAAGCGTGGACAGGTTCTTAGCGGTTCATTTTCATCTCAGATACCAAGAACTTGTAACTCACAGGCGCATCATTCTGGTGGTCATATCAATTTGGGTTTTTTCCCTGGTTCGTTCTTTCGCCACGTTGTGGCTTTCAAACTATGTGAATTTTTTTATCTCCATCCTTCTAAATGCTGGCGGTGTCATTTTAACTTCAACTATCTACTGGCGACTTTATTTAACGGTGAGACGCCACAAGAATCAGATTCACGGCATGCAACAATCAGAACAGACTGAGGAGATGTTTCATATTTCGAATATCCTTAAAACTGCAGTCAGCGTATTCTACGTGTGTCTTGTGTTTCTGCTTTGTTATCTGCCTATTGGTATCTGCCAGTCTGCAGTGACATTATATGGTTCGAATCACACCTTGATCAAATTCTATCATTATTCGATGACTTTGGTATTTCTGAATTCATCCCTGAATCCTGTAATTTACTGCTGGAAGATGAGAGACATTAGACACACCGTTTTGAATATATTGCGGCGTGCGTCGTTGAACAAAAATCGCACCTCTCGCTAATTCTTGTATCTTCTTAGGTTTTACCGTAACTTCCCATGATGAATGTTTATGTTCAGACCCTATGGGGCTATGTGAGAAAAACTGTTTTATCAAATCGTAGTAGTGAGGTGACACAACTTATTTTCAATTTCACTTATCACCTGAGCAAGTTTTAAGCATTGTCTTGAAGGAGATAAATTTTCATCAATGTATCAGTACACTAAAATAAATTCTTGCGCAATTTTTTTGGGTGAAAGTATTTTCTTTGCTTACCAAACGCAGAAAATCTGATCTGTAGTCCGCGAGCAGGCCCTAATTTAATTATTAGCGCTTCGGTTCAGGCTTTTCTTCGCCCGAACAAGGCTGGCCGGGAGAGATCTGCAAGTGGTCTGGCGCCTCGTCATTAATGGCTGGACCCCTGACAACCTCTCTCCGACTTGTTTCAAATCTTCCCACGAGCTAAGAAATGCGTGTCCTGCAGGGATAATTTATTAATAATAAGGGCCCGGTCGCAGGCTATATGAACTGATTAGGAAGAAGAATGTATCTGGAACGTTTTTGCCTCGTATCTTGAAGGGAGAGAAATATTTTTTTAATTTCATTTATGACCAAAAAGGTTGTGTCCTCGTGTACTGGTACACAAAGGAACGAAATATTAACGAACTGCGTCACAACTCCATGTATGGATATGAAAACAATAGGAACTCCCCCGTGTACCGGTACACCAGGACAGCCCCACCAAAAACCATCAAAAAACCTATTTACATCCCGTCTTTTGTTTCCAGTAATGTAGAGGCTGAGTTTTAGAGACATTTATCAAATAACCGACGTCCCGGCAGATAGCAACGTGTTTTTCACTCTTTACTATGCATGTCTGCTTACCTTGAATCTAACATACACCAAAACTTCATTCAAATTTCCGAAGTTAATAGAGCCACTCCTTATAAACCAATTCTAGAGCTGGAAAGTTGTCTTTGAATGTTCTAATATCATCAGGTGAAAAATGATTGTAGCTTAGTGACAATCTCTTTAGCAAAGGCAGTGTTGTGATCATCTGACGGAGGGGAGAAACAGAAGATGAATTAAACATGTGATCCTCAAGTGACAAATACTCCAACGTTGCTGCTGACTTAAGAACAAAACGGCACAACAGTTTGATACAGTTCACAAATGCACCGCCATCTAATTTCAAAGACTGCAAATGCTCTAAAGTGTCCAGTTTGCACATTTCACGGAGGTCAGATTCTCGTACCCCACATCCTCTAAGATCCAGACGAGTCAAGGGTGACTGTAGATGACTGAGAATAGTGTACACTCCAGACCGGATATAGTTACCAGACATATCAAGCTTTCTTAGCGTTGTTACTCTATGGCAAATATTGGCTATTTCCTGAATAGCAGAAGTGTTCTGACTTGTTATACCAGTGTAGGAAAGATTAAGATCTGTTAAGTTTGTAAAGGTTGAGACAATAGGGGAAATAACTTTGATTCCGTCTTCCTGTAGTCCATTCATTTCCAGGTTTAAGCCTTTGATGATTGAAGACTAAAGTAAAACAGAAAATGGTGAATATCAACATGAAAGTATTTTATAAAAACATTATTTCTCTAACAAAGGCCCCCTCCTTACTTAGTAAGAAAACACACATGTGGTAGTAGTACAGAAGGGGAGGAATCCTCCAGACCTCTCTCCTGCTTTCCACATCTTTCTGCACTTTGGGCTATATTTAACAAATAGATTCCAAGTTGCCGTGCGTCTGTTCAGTAATAGATCACAGATGATGTCAAAATGTGGTAAGTGGTTTCATGATGACATCATCTATACATCTGTCCTCCAATAGATCATAAGTGAGAACCAATCAGAATGTGTGCATAACTGAGCTTATTATATAATGTGAAATAGAGCAGGTCAATGATTGACCCTATGACCCCTAAGAGTGACTGGTATGTAATTTCTCCTTACAATCTGAATCACACATTAAGGTCACAAGAATGGAGGAGATGATCACCATCTAAAGAAGCTCCTGATTGTTCAACAAATTCTCCTTGTCAGCACTCAACACCATGTATAAAGAACAGTATGGAGAACATGCATACTGATGCCAGGGTCTAAAGGGTTGAAAAAAAGTGTCCTTTCCCATTTTTATCCCACATTTTCCCGTATGAAGCAGAGCACCACATAGCAAAACTCTACCAACAATTATAACTGATCATGATTATATTTGATAGACTGTCATTGAATATAGCTGAAATGTAAATAACTTATCTTTCTTCCCACCTCCAAAGAAGACAACAAGGTGCGAAGCTTATTCCCTCTAAAGGAATCTACTTTCAAATGTGATATCTTTAAATCAATAACCGAGTGCTTGATGCAAGCCTGGATTACAAGGCCACAGTTGTCTTTGTCAACAACACAATCTAGCATAACCACTGTTGGAGGAATTCTCTGGCATAAAGCTTTAGTTGGAAAGTTTTCTTTTATATATTCTGCTGTTGGACGTGTGTCCAAAATTTTCATTCCCAACACATCATTGTCTGAAACTTGAATATCTCCTGCTAGCTTGCAAAATGCTGTGGTTCCATGAAGACCTAAAAATCCAAAAAAGATGAAGTTTAAGCCAGGGTTGTATTGATGAGAGGAGACCAGATACCTCTGGGGCAACAAAGTTGGGCTTTGGGTGACATATATTACTCAGTTTGTGAGATGTCCAACCCCAATTACAGAAAACTGATCTTACCCCATTTAGAGAAACTGACAATTTCCAAACATCAATAAGGTGTTCAGACGACCTCCAAACATTGCTAGAGATTCCCAACGATGCTCATATGAGTTCTAAAACTTTCTGAATGTGTTTGTATAAAGAGCTGATCAGAATAAGGATTTGAAGAGTAAGGCAGCACGTCTCACCAAGTTATTTAACATTGGGTATCCTCCCCAAGGGTGAAAATGTAATGACCCGTCAAACTTAAGGGGGGGAGGACCCCACAGTTTTAAGGTAACATTTCAGGCTTATAGGTGCATAACAGTATAAAGGCTATGAAAATTTGCATAATTTTATGACGTGAAACAAATATCAAATACCTATAACTCACCAATGTTACATCCCCTAATGTCGACAAGTTGTAAATCGCGTTTAAATTTCTGCAAACAGTACGCCAGGAGAACTGCTTTCGGTTCATCAAAACCTTGAACATTTTGCAATATGAGTTGTCTTAAAGGCCAGTTCACGATCAAAGTTCTTAAACAGAGAATCCTGGATTGAGAAATGGAAGTTAAAAGAAGCTCTTGTAGAACAGCTCTTGGCAATGTGCTCAAGTCATATCTTTCCACAATACATCCATCCTGCACAATGGTAGAGGCCGATAATTTTACTAGCGAACAAGCAGACATCTTGGTTGTGAAATATTCGAGAAGAGACTGAGAACCAATCATCACAAGTCCATGGGTCACGCTACCTCACAAAATTTGACCTGGCAACGTGAAGAAAAAAAGATACTTTGGTCATTCTTCTTCCAGCAATAAAAAGAAATTACAGTAAATTTTCAAAATTCAATTTCCTATTATGTACAATAAATTAATCACGTTAATACAGTATCGACCATTTTCAAAGTCGCCCAGTGCCCTCCCAGCCCAGGTCCAAATGATCTCGCGTGGCTGCTAAGTATCATGTTTTATTAGTGGAACTTTCGACCTGGCATGTTTTGCAATCTCGTTATATTTTACGAAACATAAGATGCGCGTTACGTCAAAGGGAAATAACAGGAGTCTCTATTCATGGTATTCCGCTTTCGTAAAGAAAGTAGAGCAACGATAAACCTCAAAACAGACTAAATTATGCGTCGGCATGCGTCCTTGCATATTCTTGTCATCGTAAATTTTCTTGCTCTACCTTGTCGTAGTTATTCTGGGGAGTACAAAGTGCTGATATCACATAGCCACGGAAGCGAAATTGGAGAGGAAACAGCTTTCGAAGCCGAAGTTGTGCTGAAACCCAAAGCAAATAGTAGAGACTTGGGACAAACTGAAAATATAATATACGAATTCTCGTGGAGAGTTACCGATCTGGAATGGATCAGACAGAACCAAACAACACACAGATGGAATAGCTTTCGATGGCGATGGTTTAGCGAAGGACAGAAAACGGTTTTTGTTTTTGTGAGGATTATTGTTGGAACTGAGTATAATAGCCGTAATTCCAGCAAACGAAAGCAGTCACAAAGTGGGCACACTTTGTATTATGCTAGGAACCATACACAGATTACAGTTCATGGAACTGAAGGTATATGTTTTGTCAGACTGAAGCACTTTCACTTTCTGGAAAGTGTCGCTTTGCTGTATGGCACAAGAAAAAAATTTAAACAAGGATTTCTCTTTACAACATTAATATAATTCTAGGCAGAAAAGTGTTGATAAACATTGAAAAATATCGATTGACGAACATTGTTTTATTAGCCGTCAAAATTTCAAAGCAAAATATCTAACAAATGTTTGTCCGGTTGGACTGAAAATTGATACTTGAAAATTGATACTTAAATCACACCGTCACCATCTGCTTGTCTGACAGAGTATGAAATATGCAAGGATAATAATTATGTTCTGATCGCCGATCCTCCTCGCGATCACAGAGTTGGAATTCTCTGATAATGGTTACGTTTTATTAATTGCCATTTAAGTAGAAAATTATGGCCAATCAAACCTTCTAGGTCAAAGTGCTTTTTTTCAGAATGGATTCGTTGTAATCTGTGAATTAATGACCTATAATGACTTAGTCCTTTCTTTGATTATTTTTGGTGATATTTAACATTTATTTCAATACATGGTATTTTGGATGATTTTTCAAGTTAAAAGGTCTTCAGAGCTATAAAGTCTATTCCATTTCTTCAGTAAAACTAAGTAAACGCAGTGCTATAGAACTGGAAGAGCAAAAAGTTTTAGGCATGAGTGTTTGGAAGATGATCACTCCCAATTTTTTTCTTTGCCTTTGCTCAAGTGACACTTTCAACTATTTGCATTTACTATCATGCCATGTTTACAAAGTGGCTGGTGTTTCTTAATTCAGCAAATTGGAAAAAAAAGCTGGATGAAATAAGTACAAAGTAAGTGCCCTTTCATGTGGTGAACCTTTTGTTTTGCTACAAATGTTCACTCTCTAATAGTTTTGAATGTTACTAAATGAATGTGTGCCTTATTGATTAATCTCTTTTATTACTATATCTTTTTTCAGAAAAGATATCAGCATCTTTGGAGGCTTATCAGAATTCTTCCCAAGACATAGATCAATTCATTGCAGGAACAGTTAACCTTGCTGTCATAATCAATAGTCCCAATAGATATGTCAATTTATCATATGACTGGTACTTTGGTGATGGAACTCGACTGTTAAATTCATGTCAAAGTCAATTGAGTCACAATTTTACCACTGTGAGAAGTTGTACAGTGAAAGTTGTTATCTATGGATTTTACGGGGGAAAACGCTGCAAAGGAGTTGCATTTAAAGATCTTCAATTTACAGGTAGATGGTGGCCTTTAAAACCTTCACAATTAATTTAAAATAACCTGTTCTCTGCAAATCCATGTAAACATAATCAAATGTCCTTTGTTCCTTATTCCTTCTTTCTCCAAAGAATGAGTTTGTCAGGGAATGTAACTGGACATTTTATGAAGAGAGATTGAAAATTCTGATTACATCACCAATTCTTTAGCAAAGTAGTTAACAGTCCTACTGTACTTTAAGGTTCGTGAATAAATATTGTATTTTTATAATGTCATTCATGATTATTTTGGCATAATCTACCTTGTCTTTTCAAGCAAATGTTAAAGCATACCTGGTGATCGATTGTTTACCTGGTCCAAAGTTGCCGTCAGACGAAGAAAAAATTGCAATAAACATTCCTGCTAGGTTTGAGGTGAAATTCAAGGATCCATTCAAAGAAGTCACAAGTGTATCCATTGACTGGGATTTTGGAGATGGTTCTAGAGAGAGAAATAGTAGTAGCTATGTAATATTTCACAAGTACCAGAAAGAGAGAGAATATCATGTGTGGGTGACGGTCAGGGTCAAAACCAGGCACCATAAAGCACCCAAGCTTCCCCTTATCTCCAAGAATGTTTTCGTCAAAGGTGAGGATGTGAATTTATTTCTCTAACAGAAAGGTTTCCTGTAAAACAAAAACATGTCACAGTTTTGACAAAATGCAATCTTCTAACCAATTTGTCCCATCTTTTGTGCACTAGAAACCTTTTTTTACATGTGAATATTTTTTATCATCCTGTGCCCAGTTGTATAAAAGGCAGATAACGTTATCCAACTGCAGATAAATTTCTTTTCAGCAGATAAGTGAGAGCAAAGTGTACTGCTCTTTCCACTGGATAGCATTATCCAGCCTTGGAACAACTGGGGCCTGCTGTCTAATTTTGCCATTTTTTTGCTCTGTCCTCAGTAAAAGTTTTCAGCTGAAAAGTTGGAATTAATTACAGTCCCCTTTGAAAAGGGCTTGGAATGTAAGACTGTTATGTCTCTCTAGTTGGTTGACATTGTATCAGGAATAAATTATTAGTCTTATTCTCTGTGAAGCATTGCAATGATTTTTACTGTAGTGCAGACAAATGTCAGTATATAATTTCTCTGTTGGCAACCTAGTGGTAATAAATTATCAATATCATTACCATTCCATTCTCTTCACAGCACCTGTATCTCTTAAAGTGCAACATAAAAATGTTACTAAAGGTAAACCAGTGGCTTTTCACATCTCTTGCAATGGAAGGTAATTACTTTTTCTCAAGTATTCAATATGCCTTTGAAAATAATTTGGTATATACATCTATATATTTATAAATTACTGGCTGTGGTTGTTTGAAGGTTGGATAATGCTATCCACTGACTAAATCTCTATCTGTTCAACAACACAGTACATTTTGCCAGCATGCAAAGGGTTATCAGTTTGAACTGTTAACCCTTTCTCCATTCTGTCCTCTATACATTTCTTAAGGTGCTGACAAGGAGAATTTGTTTGGCAATCAAGAACTTCCCAAATTGGTGATCATTTCCTTTATGCGTGTCACTTTTACATTTGATTCAAGTCACTACTGTAAGGAGAATTTAGATTCCACTCACCTTTAGGGGTCAGAGGTTTAACCCTTTAACTCCCAGGATCTGATTGTTAATTCTCCCCTCTAGCTGCTACATCTTTCCTTTTAAATTAGTTGCAAGAATTAGGTATTTGATCAAGATAACAACTTTTACCCGATACATTTGAGAACTCTCATTACTGGTTTGCAGAAGGGTGGATGGATATTTTAGGGAGAAGTTACATGCGAATCACTTCTGGGAGTTAAAGTGTCAATTAACCCTTTGAGCATTTTAGTTCTTGCCCAGACTTCCATGTGAAAGTTTGTTGTTTGGAAAACTGCACAAAAGCGCATCCTTTGGTCAGCATGTATAAATGTTTCTTGCAACAGACTGTATCTCCTACTGATATGGTTAATGATATTGATATTTTAGGTAGAGTTGGCAGCAAACTGATCTTTTAATTGCCTCTTTTCTTTCCCAAATAGCCTGCCAGTGTCTTTTCGTTGGTGTGTTTCAAGACTTTGCAGCAAAATCCAGGGAAGCGACTGCAGTCCCTCTCTGGAACACAATAATTCCTGCTATTTGATTGTGAATCATACATTCCGCAATTCTGGAAACTTCTGTGTCAGTGTTGGAGTGATGAATGGTGTCAGTAATACTAACACATCTCTTATACTACAAATCCCTGGTAAGATAGTTTTTCCTATTTATTTGTAAAGCAGTGCATGCCTTAATATTAAAAACCATGTTATAGGGGAAGCTGACACATGTATTTATTTAAACAGTTCTCTGATTCATAAAGGTCACTTTATCATTAAGAAAACAAAAAAATCAGTTTCCTTTTCTTTCCGAATAGTTCAATCTGTTGATGTTGAATTGTCTTCTGAACAGGCAGTTTCTCAGACAATTTGGTGTCCTCCAATGAAAGATTTAGTTCACATGGCAAAATTTGTCATTGAAACTGAAATCATGAACGTGATCCCCGCAGAATTTTTTTCAGGCTTTATTTTCACTACTAGTTGAGTATTACTCATAACTGCGAGGATCCCTTTCATTCATTTCTTCAAGCTCAGTTCACATGTACATGATTTTCCATATATTTGCAGTAATTGAAACTGAAACCTAACATAATTTGTGATTTTTAATCAAGGCATTGAACATCTAAACCCAGGAGCATACTTCTCCAGAAACAGAGAACCATGAAATTTCATGTTAATATTGCTCACTGCTTGGATATTTGACTGACAAAATGGATGCCTTTCTTTGTTTTTCTAGAAAGTCTTCATTCTATAAAACCAGCCCAAAAGAGGAGCAAAGACAAGGCAGCAAAAGGAGCTATCATTGCTATCTTTGTCATATGCCTTTTGATAGGTGTTATTGTAATTGTTGTACGAAAATTGTATTATAGGAAAAGGGAAAAGATAGAAAAGGCAAACTTTGATTTTAGAGACAGTGATGACATAAGTTTGTCCTCTCTACAATTGTTTGAAAAACCTTCTTGTTTTCCCTGGTGTGGGAACAGAACTTCATGTGGTGCAGAATGTGTACCTCTCTGTGACCATGCTGCTGGTAGAAAACTTTACACGCTGTAATCTTTTCAGTGAATTGGAATATCTTCCCTGTGAGTGAAGAACCCAAGAATTTAGAGAAAAGAAGATTCCACTGTGAGGGTATGGAAAATGTATTTCTCACAGAATGAGTTAATAAAAGGAAATTGCATGAACATAATATTACATACCTCATTCATCTCAACCAATCTTTCCAAAATTGTTTCTTAATGGAGATTATTTTTGTGATTGTTTTGTTTTGGTTTATAGTACAAAGAATTATACCAAATTGTCTAAATTGAATTAATATTAATATTTTTGTGTTAATTTGTTGCCCATTTCATAGGTCAATGTTAACACTAATATGTGTATATAATTTATGTTGGATATTAAGTATAATAAAAAATTATTGGATGAGGTTTTTGCGATATCCAGAATAGGCAAAGTCAAAATAGGGGTTATCAGCCAAAGGCTGAGGCTGATAACCCTTGCTGAGACCTTGATTATTCTGGATATCAATAAAACTGAATCCAATAATGGTTTCATCTTCCAATGAATGAAAAAAAAATGATCACAACAGGAAATGGAACTGATAATTTATTTCTTAACATGTAAAAATTTACAAATCAGCACGCAACGCAAAGCGTGTAAACTTGACATGATTAGCCTTAGAAATCATGCACTGCAGCCATACATGACATGATTACCCATGACCTTTGTATTGGATAATCTGCAGCTAGATGACATCCCAGTTGCTGATTTTAAAATTCACTGTATACTTCAGCCAATCAGAAAAGAGATAGTGAGTTGAATGAAAATAATAATATTTAATATTCTATTTTGACTGAAGCCAGAGCAAGGTAGTCTGAGTAGAGCGAAAACTTTTAAAGAAAAGAGATCATTATACACAAAAATTATGTAATGTAATGTTATAAAATCTTGAATTTGATGTAACAACAAAGTTTAGAGTGCTATTAAAACATTGCAAATCACATTTTATAGTGTAAAGGAAGAAAAAATAAAAAAGCTGGATCTTTTGTTAATTTACATGTGCTGTGGTCCTTATCATAAATGTAATCATCATCAGATGTCTAATTCTGAATTCTGGTTGAAATGCACTCTACCATACAGGAAAATTAACGTAGAGGCCAACCATTTATTATTTTGGAAGTCAGTTAAAATGATGATTATTGGTTTCAGAATAATGACATCTTAATGCATATGTACGAATTGGACAACAATATCATTAAAAGAATATAGTGTGACCACAACTCCTCTCAGGTAGAGCATCTTTTTTTAACAAAATGCCAGATGCTATACTTTGCATCAACTAAATTCAGTCTGTCTACAGTAGATGCAATTGTTCTTGCTGTCTCTTCAGGAGCATTTCCAAACACAAACTGCCACAGTTCCTCCAAAATACATGTAGAGAAGATTTTTGACTTCATGTGTGAGCTCAAAACCATAACCTTCACCCACTACAGCATGCCAGGAAGAACCAAACTTCTTGTCTAAACTTTCTTTGATCATTTTTGCTGCAGCCTGAAATACAATAGGATTGAACACAGCTTTCCTTTTGCATTTAGCTACTCTGTGTCTGTTCTCAAGCTGAGTGGCTATTCTAGCCAGAACTCATATCAGTTCCCTTAGCATGAAGTGATTAAGAGTGTTACTACTCTGCCCTAGATGAGATGCCAATCCATTGCAAGATATCCCCAGCATTTCATCAGGCTTCCCTGAAACTTTGCCACTACCTATTAAAACTCCTGAGTGAGGAGAGGCACTGTGGGAGTTAACCCTTTAACTCCCAAGATCATATTTATAATTCTCCTTACTGTCTGCCGAACAATTCCTATTATGTTAGTTTGGAGAAATTGATATCAGATCAATTTGTAATCCAATAATTGACATTTTTCTTCATTCTCATCACTTGTGTGCATGATATTTTATAGATATAGTAAGGAGAAATTCTATCTTGGTCACTCATAGGGTTAAAGGGTTAAGTTTTCTGCCCAAGAATACAACACATTGACCAGCTAGGTCTCAAACACTGGACATCTCAACTCAGAGTTCAGCACAGCAAACGTTACCAGTAGGCCACCTCTTGAGCTACTCTGTGGAGGTGGGATGTGACTAGTTCACTGTCTACTTGGAAGAAGGGCTGTGAGAATGTGAAATTTATTTTGAAAATAATAGTCTTGCCAGCAAAATATTGATTAGATTTACGTAATTCATTCCATTTCAACTGTTTGGCTTCAAAAAGTAAAAGACAAAGATGTTTATTCAGCCCAATCAGAAGTTCACCTCAGCTCCCAGTGGAAGACAAGGAGGTCTAAAGTAGGAAATTAGTGTTTAGCATGGAAATAAAATTGGATTATAAAAATTCCGGTCATGCAGTTCATCTAAAATGAGTTAAGGATACCAAGAAGCAAGTTGAATACTCCCACCTGAACCTATTAGGTATCCAGGCGGCCACGATCATGATCAAATTTATTAACATTTGAAGTAAACAAAATTTATTTACCTCGTTATTCGTTGAAAACTTTTCACAAGCTGTTACACAGAGCTCCATCGCTTCAGTCCGCATTTCATCATTCATATCCGAATACTGAAAAAAGTGTATGAAGGTAAATATCAAGGCCTCATGTAACCGAGTAATTCAAACGAAAAACGTGCACCATTAATACTACAACAGTTGTACCATCATACTGACTGCGCGATTCAATTCCCCTTCAACTCACCCGAATCAAAGGGTAACTATGCAGCCGTTTATAATCATATCCTCCACTTTCTTGTGCTGTACCACCTTCCTGATTTTCTGCCATGGTATAAGTTCTTAAATACTCTACAAAAATGCTAAAATGTGTACAATTTTTACCAACACAAACAAAGATGGAGGTAGGCTAGCTCTTCACCCTTTGTTTCCATGGAAATAATAGGTAGAGCCTCGCTTTCATGAATGTTTCTTCCTTGACCTGTACCTATCCCGCGAAATTTACAAATGGTGAAACTTACACTTTGATGCAATTTTGCCCAAATCTTGTAATCTTTCGGCTTTTCTCCGACGTTTTTTTACTGGAAGCACGGATAAATTTGTCTTTGTAAAAAAAGAGGAAAGGATAATTTTGCACATTGAAAATAAATTGTTAGCAAGTCCTTTACGAGAGGAAGAAAGACCAAAATGGCCGAAGGGCACGATCGAGAATCGCCGGTGGAAGATGCAATCGTCGAAAAGTGGAAAAGGTTCGTTATATGGTGACTACTTATGATAGATTATGAAAGCTTTATGGCATGTCATGTATTCCTAATTTTTACTTAAAAATCGCTTAAAGGATTAACGAAATAAACTTTTATTTAATCGATAAATTATAATAAATTTTGTCTAACAAATGTTTAGATTACTTTTTTGATGTTTATAGCCAATTCAGAAACATGATTTTACATCGTTAGGGAACAAATCGAATTAAAGGAGAAGCTTGTGTGCAAGGACTGCATCATTTGGGGTGAATCCACGAATAATCCATTTAGTAACTTAAATCTAATCGGAGGAGTTGACATATCATTTGTCAAAGATGATCCAGATCACGCCTGTGCTTGCTTGGTGGTACTTTCCTTCCCTGAACTTGAGGTGTGTTTCAGTTTAACCCTCTAACTCCTAAGATCTGATTATTAATCCTCCCCTCTAGCTGCTTCACATTTCCTTGTAAATCAATCAAGAGAATTCAGTGTTAGATCAAGATAATAATTTCTACCTGATAAGTTTGAGTATTCTCATTACCTGTTTGTTGGGTAATGTATTGATATTATGGGGAGAAGCTTCATGTTAATCACTTCTGGGAGTTAAAGGGTGAAATGGTAATTTATATTTGTTTGGCCTGAAATTAGCTGCACAACCCCTCACTGGAACCTGAATACATATTAATATCTCAACTGCTCACAAAGAGTCAAGCTGGCTTCCAGAGGCTTAGAAAATATATTTTACAATAATCACGTATAGCTTTTGAATCACTGGTATGGAGCCTTCATAATTAGTGAGCTACTATACCCACACATTCCTCCTGGAAAATCAATCTTCTCCAAAAAAATTATTTCTCGTCACTCTTATTTGTAACCTTAAACTTTGTGAACACAGAAGTTTATTCAACACTGCCCTAGTAACCTGAGGTAAGGTGCAGTTAACATGAATACTTTTAGGTACTGTACAAGGTTAATCAAAACTGAAGACATTCTGAAGTGCTGTTAAGGATTTATTTTATTACGTGTTAAATCTTGTGAATACTTCTTTAAATACAGGTTTTGTATGAGGATTTAACCCTTGTACATCTGAAATTACCTTACATACCAGAATTCCTGGCTTTCAGAGAAGTTGGGTTCCTTGTTAAAGCAGTTTCCAAGCTAAAAGAAGTTAAACCACATCTACTTCCACAGGTGAACAAGATTTTTGAGATGGTAATTCATCAACTAAAAGCTATACAGATCATTTCATTGATCAAAATTAAATCAAAATTAATTATGGTATTTGACATTATATAAAATTCATTTGATTAGAAGGAGAATGAGTCTAGATCAGCTGAGTTCATGTTATTGACATACATTGTTATTGTTGTTCTTGCTGCTGTTTTAGATCATTTTAGTTGACGGGAATGGAATGTTGCACCCCAGAGGTATGTTTATCAGTTTATTATTATCATAATGATGAGGTTTATTGCAATTAGGATATTTACCAAATATAATCATTTACTGGGTTTCTTGGAGCTGAACATAGTCAACTGATAATGATGATGTAATTTTTTTCCCTTTTAACTAACTGGAAGACTCATAATTTTTTTTCACTAGTAGGACAAAATATATCGCTCTAACTAATACTCGATCTCATTACTGGCAGGTTTTGGAATTGCTTGTCACCTTGGAGTGCTGACAGATATCCCTACTGTAGGAGTGGCCAAGACCCTTTTCCATGTGGATGGGATAAAGAAAGACTCCAAAAATGCAAATCAGGTATTTTAAGGATAAGAACATTTCCTCACAATTAAGTAATTTTCAAGAGAAAAGTAGTACTAGATAATGTCCATACCAACCCTGGCTCAAGAAATGCTGTTGGAATCTGTAAACTAAGATAAAGGGTTTGAAGCCAGGAGCCATCATTTGTAAAAAAAATTGAAGCCAATATGAAACTGAAATCTCCAGGAGTGGGAAAGTTAATGCAGACCAGTAACCCTCTCTGGTAGGAGGGGGGGAGGGGAATGTCATTTGAATGATCAACTAACTCTTTGAAGTATGTAGTAAAAACAATTTTTCTACATTCCTGTCTTGACAGATCAAAAACTGTCTAAAATCTAGTGGAGACAGTTTCCCACTGATAGGTGACTCTGGTACAATTTGGGGAAAGGTAAGATTGGTCAAATTGCCAAACTATAACAAAATGATAAGGGAAAGAATGAGAAGGTTGCATAAACTATTTTAGTTTCAATTCCTCTTTCCTCTTGCCTCTGCCCAGAATTGAGACTTCACAGTGTTTTTTCCACCTAATGCACAAACAATTATGAGAACTCTTGTATACTGTAGAAAAATTGATTTTTCTGGGAGACTAAAAAAGCAAGGCAGCTTCTGAAGTGAACGGACAGTATGTCAACATCTGGCAGGTGAACTTGAATCCTATCAGTCTTAACTGATTTGGTTACAAAAAAGTAAATACTGGCAATTTCTTCAAACATGGCACTAAATCTCTTTTATTACTATTCCTCCTGTTATAAGAACATCACAATTATTTTTGTTTTTTACTCAGGCATTGAGAAGTACCCAAGGAGCTCCTAATCCTATCTACATATCAGTGGGCCATAAGATAGGACTGGAGACCGCAGTGAGTCTTGTACATGCCACCTGTTGGTTCAGAACACCTGAACCAATAAGACAAGTAAGAAACAAAACAGAGGCTACTGAAAAATTATAACAATGTACCTGATGACTGAGTTTGGT